GCTGTTATTGTGCTAGTGATTGCACGATGTACTTTACACCTGTGTGTGCGTATTAGGTAGTGTGCATTGTACATCGTTTCGCGATATTTTTTATTCATTTAATACATCATTAAATACTTAAAGAATTACTTCTACATATCTATCTTCATTCTTATATTTATATTAAATATTTCTAATTTTTTTGAAAATCGTTTGCTTAATAGAGTTACTGCATTTATTTGTGGAAACTTTGATATACTTGTATATTACTAGTATGCATACATATATACTAGTGTATACTTGTATTTTTGCTTTAGTTTTTTATGCAATAATCATTAGCCTTGGCAGTCGATTTCAGCAAAACGTACGTATACCCATTAGCATATAAGTTCAGAAAACGTGGTTGAACTAGGGTGTCGGAGGTGCCCCGGGGCATGCTCTCTAGTKTAGGCTTTTGCACCCTGGTGGTATGTGTGAGAACCGTGGAGTGAGTGGGTGGGTATGTATGTGTTTTCTTAAAACGGGTAAAAATATGGATAATAGGCAGGCAGGTAGCATACTTCTCTGAATGAATGTGAAAACTTTAATTTTAAGTAGGTAGGATCCAGGAAAGGCATTAGACTTCTTTCTTCCACTCCGGAGTGGAAATTCCGCCTCCTGGTTTATACAGAATTGTTACAAAATTGTATCATCTCATTCTGTATTATGCTTGATTTGTTAATTTATTTTGTAACTATTCTTTGATCTTTATTATGTATCATGATTCAAAGATATTTGCAACCATTTGAAAGATTCATTTCTGCTTCGATTTTATCTCGAACGAGATAGAATCGAATCAAATTCGCAAATTCTTTGTTGCATTTGATACTTAGTTTTAAGTATTTCAGGATTAGCACTACGCACTATCGCGATTTCGTCTTATAGATAGAAATATTTGATATAATTAAATATAATGAATTAATGAAATGAAAGTATTGCAAGAAAATGTATTACATTTATTGCACTATTTATTTCAATTCGATTTTTTACTCGACGTTAAAAGTGCGAAGTGTTATTAGGTCATCGAGGGAAATTATTATCTGCTTGGACATTCGATTAAATGTACTCGTGTATGATCAATGAACTTAAAGTTCATTGATGGTCCACGAACTAGAAAAGTGAACGCGAAATATAAATTAATTTTTAAATAATTGAGAATTAGAATCATCATTTGTAAAAGTAATATGATAGATCTTATCTTGCTCGCACGTAGGAAATGTCCAATTGCAGTTTTCATGGAATGAAGAAAGAAGAGGCTTAATGCCGAAGAGGCCCCCACTTAATTGTGGCTCAAGAGGGCAACTACAGGCTATTGAGTTATTTTCAAAGGTTCAACAGCAAGTTTAGTCAACCTTTAGAGAATGGCTCTCTAGTCATATTTTATATTTTATTGTTTTACTTTTTTGCTCGTCATTAATTTTTAGTTGTAAGTGGAGATGATGGACCATTCCATCTCCTTGGGACACCAAAGTCGTGTCTATATCGTCAAGAAGATGCATATATGTTTAGTTAGTTTGAGTCAAAAAATGTAAATTCCCTTATTATTAAATTTTGAAGCTTAAATAACTTTCAGTAAATATTAAAGTAATCTCTCTTTTCTTTTTTTTTTGTCTTTAAGATTTTTAACTGTGATCGTAGTTTATTAAATTTCTAATTTTTTCTTTTCTATATAATGCAGTTTTAAAAAGTATTAGTCTTAATAATTAATGGATATTATTTTCTCTAGTAACTTTTACTTTTGTATTTTATTTTTATTTTTTGTAAAGATAAAATCACGCGTTTAAATTTAATTTCGTTGCAACGGTAAATAGATATTTGATAAAAATAAATGGAGTATTCAATTGAAAAAGTGCATCTGCGAATTGGACGATTCATATGTTAGGCTATTGTATCTCACTTGATTCTATAATTAATCTAGTTTTCTTTTTGTTACAGGTGATCTTCGTTGGATTTAACAACAAACCATTTTGATTCTCCTCCTGTTTTTTATAATATATGTATAAATGCATTTCTGAAGGCACACACATAAACACTAAATATGTTTGTTAATAAAATGTTTAATTTTTTAAACATATCTGTTTCAGATTTAAGACTTTAATGGATCTACTTGTTTTTTTTTAAATTATATTTATGACTGGCATCTCAAAAGGTAGTAATTTTATTTTGCTTGTTTCTATGATACGATAAACAAATGTAGGATATTCGAAAGATCATTGGTACAAAACTTGATGAGAAAAGAGGTGAATGAAAAAATCAGGAAACGTAATCTTTCATCTAATTCCAACTCCAGAATTATAGTAGCCAAAAATCTGTAAAAATTCACAAAATTGTTTTTAATGATGTTAGAAATGATAAAAAGGTTTGAGCAAAATCGAAAGGGGTCGGGGTCAAAAGTGGTCGATTTGACGTAGAATGCCCCATATATATGTATATATATTTTATGTATAGACACACAAACGCACATAGAGAATATTTATTAAAACGTAATTATTGTATTACGATATTTATCTGACAAAATTAATTACAGTTAATAATAATAATAATAATAATAATAATAATAATAATAATAATAATAATAACAATAATAGTAATGGTAATTACGAAATGTTATCAGATCTTTTTAAAACAATAATTAAAAAGGCGTGTGGATTAATTTTATAAATATGATAATTAAATAAACGTGTTATCCTTTATTAAACCATTAATTAAATTTTTAATAAAGAAATATATTTTCTCTCTATACAGAAAATAATTAAATAAGATCTGACGGAAATAAATACTTTATTAATGTTATTTACTTATACGTAATATATAGAATCTTAATCATAACATAAATATATATATATATATATATATTTATTTATAATATTTTTCATTGTGAACATTAACATTAAAAACTTATTCAACCAACCAATATTATCCACATTTAATTTATGTTATTAAAAATTCGAATTAATTGCACATACGCCATTAGTACATTCCAATTATTTTTATTTAAATGAATTCATTAATAATAACAATAGTGTCATGTAATTAATTGTGAAAATTCCAAATAAGAGTTTTTTATTTTCTTTTTTTTTTTTGTAATTAGAATAATTATTATTACCAATACGTTAATCTCAGATTGAACGAATCATATAATTTAATTAATAAATATTTTATTAATTTTCTTATATTTCTAACAGGAAGAGAAATAGAGAGAACAAATAATTCAATTCAAATACGATATGTGTATTTCTCTAAGAACTACTTTAGCTTAGTTTGAGAGAGAGAGAGAGAGAGAGAGAGAGAGAGAGAGAGAAAGAGAAAGAATATATTGCACAGATGATGATCGATATTTTTGTCCCTAGCATCCGTTAAATTTATTTACTTTTTTATTTTCCCCCGATTAAATAGAAAAAAATAAGAAATAAAAAATGACATTTACAAAAAAAAATGATTAATTTTCTCAACGAGAAGAAACAATCTTTTATTTCTTTTTTTTTGTAAACCGATTAATCACTACATCATTACAATTTATATAAACAAAAATATATACATATATATATAGATGTTTGCATAAATGTTCTATTTGATTACTATCAACTGTAATATTTATTTTTAATGAATCAAATACTTTTTTTTTTTTTTACGAATAGATAATTAGAATTACGGATGCTAGGATGATTGGCAATTACATCAGATATAATTCATTAGTTTCATTTTATCTAAGATTTTTTTTTCTCGCGATAATTAGTTTGATTTTTCAAGTTAACTCTCGAATAAGATAAAAGGTTAGAAGAGATAGATTTTGTGGGTTTTGTGGGGTTTTAGGGGGTTTTAGGTTTGAGGGGAAAATCGAACGTTGGTTTCCTCTTTTTTGTTATTTATCATTTCCTTTTTTCTTTTTCATCCTTTTTATTACTTTTTTTTTCTTTTCCTTTTTCCTTTTTTTTTTCGTCCCTTCGTTTGCTTGTTTATTTGCCAAAGCAGGATACCGCATTGAAGGCGCATTGTTTCCAATAACTTCGTTTACGTTGAAGATCACCAATGTCCAGTTGATTTCTAAGTCGTTGTACAATTTGTTTCGTGAAAAGATAATTAATTAGGGCAGCGTCGATGGTACCATCTTCATCCACCAACTGAAAATAAAGAAACACGTAAATGTATTAGAATTTTTTTTAAATAAAAATCATTTTTATTTGTTCTCTTTCTTTTTGTATTGTTCAAAAGTTGTGTTAAGTTTTGCGTCAAGGGTTTTTGGTCAAGTCAAAAAAATTCTTCTTTTTATAAAAATTAGATAAAACAAAAATCAAACATATACATTTTTTTCGTGGCAATTTGTTTTTTTTTTTTTTCAATAGAACAAAAGTAAAGATTTCTTTTTATGTATTATAAATCAGTTTAGTTTTAGAAAATATTCTAAGTAAAATAAAATAAAAATAAAAATAAAAAAAAAAACGTTTTCACCGAGTAACTCACAAATTGTATAAAGCCGAAATCAAATTTTCAACAAATTCCTTTTATATCGTAAGTTATCTCAAGTTGTTGTTTCCAAAGTAGAAAACAAAGTTGAATTTCTATCTGACTGATCGAGAAAAGCTTTTAAATCGGCGTAAAACTTTTGGTAAAAGTTTTCAATATCGATACCATTAGTAGAGATAGACATTGCGATAAATTATTCCTATGTGATTACAAATTTTCTATGAAGTAATGAAGATTATTATCTCGAATAAAACTGAGAAAAAGAGAGAGAGAGAGAGAGAGAGAGAGTGTTTGCGTTTATCCTTAAAAGTAATTTACTTCTAAACACATTTTCCTTCTACTTTGGATTACGAATTTAATTAATGTAAGATATCGATTGTTGTTAAATTTACATACACTCGTACACATGAACGCGTCGTAGTTGTATTTCCATAAACATTAGCATACCTTTACTAACACTATCACTGTTGTTGGAATAGAAATGTTCACTTTATCGTATTAATATTATTATTATTATTATTATTATAATTATTATAATTATTATTGTACAACTACATTCGCATAATATTAGACATATGTACGCCAAAATTTAATTTATATATATATATATAGTTACACGGGACCACATTTAATTTATAAATTCCACGCATATTTTCACAATATAGATATACGTTCGATTCAGTTATTCAATTTATAATACACAAACGTAAAATTTTACGTGATAAATTATTATCAATATTTAAAAGAAAAAAAGTTTATTTCCAGTCGTCCTATTTTTTTCTTTAATTTTTTTTTCCTCTCTTATTAAACGTAATAATAATAATAATAATAAACAAGTTATATTATTTTCCAGAGAAATAAATTACCGTTTCTCAAATTACATCGTGAAAAGGTACACCGCGTGACATTTCCTCCCCTTTCTCATCATTCCTTCATCCCACCCCCTTTAACCCTTCTGTGTAGTCGTCGTCATTACAATCTTTCCAACCCTTTCGTTAGAATTCTGAAACTCGTTTTGTTTTGCATGGAAAGTTTGAATGCAGTTACGTAGCGATAACGAGAATAAGGTTAAAGTCTGTTAGCTTGAACGAAAACGATTCGCATTCGAACAGTTTGAACTTCTTCTTTCGTTACCGTGAAATTCACTTGTCTTTCTTAAAATTAGATGTACACATGTAATATAAATGAAAACTTAAATTTATGATAACGATATTGTGACATTATTCTTACAACATTAGATATTTAAACAGTTAACAGACACCATGCAATAAAACTTTTACGAAAACATTTTCATTCTTATTTAAATAAGAACACAATTGAAATAATTAAAAATAAATGTTTAAAATTAATGGCAAAATAATTGCGACAAACGTATAACAATTATTATTATATAAAATATTAATTGATCTATTTATTTGAATATCGATGTATAGAAAAATGTTTGATTAAAAATTATACAATATCGAAATATTTCAATGAAACAACCAAACATAAAAAGGAGAGAAAAAAAAACAAAGTAACACAATTACGAATCAAAATAAATCGAATGATCTAAAATCGGATCTTAAAGAAGAATAATAATAATAATAAGAAAAATGAAAAGGGGTTAGAAAAGTTATGACATTCTTTTCCTCATTTTTTTTTTTTTTTTTTTTATTTCTCGACAATGTCTCTTTACCGGAACAACAAAATGGATCCATAGATACAACAGGAAGTTCGTAAGGGGTGTGAAAAGGTGGTTTATAGTATGAGTGAGGTTAGGGGAGGGTTTAGAGATTTAGTTTTATGATAGTATGACGTAAGGGAGAAAAACTGTCGATCTTTATGAGGTATTTGTTCACTATATATCTCATTCACGATCCTTCCTACTTATTATAGTTATTACCCAACCTCAAATCTCAATGGACCACAACTAAAGGTCTTTAAAAGTCGTTCTCATACGTTCGTTTTTCTGACAAGTCTCTTTTTCGTCTCTTTCTTCCCTTTCCCTTTTCATTTTCTTCCTCTTGCGCCAATCTTTCATCCATGAAACCACCCCCTGCTCCCACTCCCACTTCACTCTCTTTCTATTTTTCTCATTTTCTTTCTTTTGCATCAATTCATACCAACATATTGACAGATTGAACCAGTCTAAAACGTTTCTTGTCAACGTTTCACATTACTTTTCTATAATACGTGTTTTTTTTCTTTTTTTTTTTNTTTTTTTTTTTTTTTTTTTTTTTTTTTATTTATTTATTGCTAGATCGATTGCATCGATTGTTCTCGACAGTTTTCGTTACTTTCAATTTTTCATATACATATATCTATTTAATGTAGTAATTATTGTATTTTTTAAATAAATATTAAATTAATTAATATTTGTGAATGTGATCATATTGAATTGTTCGGAAAGTAATTTTGTTTTTTCTTGACACAATAAAGACATTAGTTGATGCAAATCGGCAAATAACAACACGTAAGATTCGGTGAGAAGTTAAAAATTTATAAAATTCAACTATTTATGCCAACTTGAAAGGTCTAGGTTTAATCTCGATGCGAAAATTGTCTTTATTTTCACAAAAGAAAAACCAAACTACTTTCCGAACAACCCAATAGTCTTTTTTTTTTTCTTACGTAATACATATCAAGAAATTCTGTCAGGTAACATTTGTTGTTAATCTTTTTATTTTCTGCTTTTTTTTTTTTTGTTCCTAATCTTTTACGAGCAATCACAAATGAAGAAGAGAGAGAGAGAGAGAGAGAAAAAAAAAAAGAAAAGAAAAGAAATTAGAAAAGCCGGAAGGTCGAGGAATTTGTGATTGATCAAATAATCGATAATCCTGTCGCTCGTAGGCAATCAGATTTTAACAGATGTCAGTTGGATTTCTCGTAAACGTTTAATACACCAAAGAACTTATAAACGTCATATCGACATTTTTGTTCTTTTTCTTTTTCTTTTTCTTTTTTATCTCTTTCCATTTCTTTTTAACCACGAATTTTTTTTCCCTTTATTTTAACATTCAATATTCAATCATAAAAAATGAATAAGAACAAACATAATGTATTATACATTGTAACGTTAAACGTTAATGTTTCTAATGTTTTTTAAGAATAACTTTTTTTAAAAAAATTAATTCACAAAACAAAATTTCATTGGCAAATCTCTTGGACTTTTAATCAAAATTAATTCATTTTATTTTTAATTATTATTTTTTTTTTTTTTTTTTAATAAAGTTTATAAGTTAGAACAAGAATTCATATCTTAAAAATAATCTTTAACAATTTGTAACTATGATCCAAAAAATATTAGTTAAATATATTGATGAAATGAGGAACAGGTAAAAATAAGGGTATAGAATCTTTTTCAGTACAAAACAATCCACGCAACAGGTTACCTCCACTTATATTCTTCTTTCTTTTTTATTTTTTAATCTTTCAAACGCTTTAACACAGATACATATATCCAGTCAAAGGATTTCATTCTTTCAAAGATTTGTTAAACATTTTTTTTTTTTTTTTTAATAAAACATTGAAAAGAATTCTAAGAGCCCATTTTAAGTATTGTTAATAAATCCATTGAATGTTTGATATTTAGAGTAATGACAAAGTCATTTTAAATTCTCTCTTATTCACGCAAATTCATTTATGTGTATGCATTACCAGAATCCTTTATTAATTAACAATAAGCTTAATTCACTTAACCGATGTTTAATTATTTTACATAAAGCATGCGATATTTGAGGATTCGATTTAATCCCTTGAACTTGTGATCTTCGATTTTAGCTTTGAAAATAATGCGAAAAAAAGAAAAAAAAAATTAATTTAATTATAGAATGGAAATGAATGGAAATATCAATGATAAGAGAATGATATAATTATTTGAATGAACCTTTTATGTGATATTAAAGTACGTGTTATTAAATTAATTTAATAACACGTTAAGATTAATGTAATACTTTAAAATAATTTTTATGTGAAATAAAACTCGTTGATATACTATTAATTTAAATACGTGTGTGGGGGATACTCGTTAAACGTAAAAGTCTTTCGTAATGTAGAAAAAAAAAATCTTCTTCTAACGAACCTGAAAGAGTACTCATTTTTCCTTTGCCTTTAACAGATTCCAATTGATCATCTTTCTCTTTCTTTTACTTATTCTTTTTCTCTGTCTATTTTTTCACTATTTTTTCTCATTGAAATAGCTCTGGTTACATCTCCCATTCGTTTTACTTAAACAATCTTTCCTCTCTTTTTTTTTCTCAGTCTCTCTCTCTCTTTATTTCGAATTACTTTCTTCCAATGTGTATTTATTTGTATTTTTTTTTTTTTTATCATCAAAGGCACTTAGATAAATATTCTTGATTGAAATTTATTTGGAAAAATGTTAAAAAGAAATAAAAGTATACTTACATCAACTTCGTTTAGCATATCTTTGTCAGGTGTTGGTAACGCTGTTGTCCAATCGATTAAAATGGTGAAGAACAACGTCAAAATTACTGCACCACGTAAGAATTTCATGTTTTCTTTTTCTCTGCAATAATAAAAAAAAAAATTAATTAATTAAATCTTTCAACGATCAAACATTTTCTATACTACAAAGTATCTAACATTTGTCTTAATGAAAATGATTTATTTTCGTCATTTTATTTTTTTCATATTAGCAATAATAATTTATTCCAATGAAATGTCTCCGGGAATAAATTAATTAAAAAAGATTATTAAAAAAAAATTCGAAACATTAATGTGTTTAATATTACCACGTAATGCGGATAATAAATTGAAATAATTTCGAGTAATAAATACAAATCGTGTAATAAAAAGAAAATAAATATAAAAAATAGGAACATTATTAAAGGGCATAAAAGGTTATCAGTAAGGATTTAGGATTGAGACCTTTACCTTTGAGTCAGCATGATTTTTGTCAAAAAAAAAAAAAAAAGAAACCTTTGTTAATACGTCGTTAGGTTTTCCTAGTCGTATCATCCCTAAGAAGGGTAGGAGAGATAAAAAAAATGGGACATGGTTTTGTCCCATAAACTACGTCGTTTTCGTGTGTATCCTAATGGTACCACCATAAAAAAAAAATCAAACTCAAAATCTTCTCTTCCTGGTACGACTACATATACATATATATATATATATTTTTTTTTATCATCAATTACACGCCACTCTGTATATACATATATATATCACTGTAAAAATGTAAATATAATTACGTGTATGCGTATAAAAGGTACGTTTTAAATCTTTATTGTTATTCCATGGAGTTACCAGAATATTTTAGTAATTTTATATATATACGTGTAATATACATCTGTATAAGTAAATGCAATATTTCAATAGAGATCAGTTTTAGTAACGCATACGTATATATAATGCTTGTGAATGTAAATGTGTTGTTTTCGTTGTGAATTTTTATCCTTTTTCTCCCCGTTTGATATCGAATTCATAGAATTATAATATATGTATGTATGTATATACAGGGAGATACGTGTAACGATTACTAAAATTGTGCATAAAATTTTCAAATAAAAAAATATAAAAAAAAATACAAAAAATAAAACAATATATAAATATCGTAAATAATAAATGAAATAATTGTAAACACGTAGGCAAAGAATCGTTTGGAAAGATAACGTGAATGAATATTAATATTTTGCATTAAAAAAAAAAAAATAATAAAAACCAAAAGGAAAATAAAAAAAAAAGTAAATGAAATAAAATTAAATTTAAAAAAAAAACCAATGGAATAATAAATCATTGTTCGATCAAATTAAATATGTAAAGAAGATAAATCGAATGAATTTTTATGAGATGTGTTTTCATAAGGAGTTAAATAATTTTTAATTTTAATAAGATGTGTTATTAAAAATTTTTGTTCTTTTTCATTTCTTTCTTTTTTTTTTTTTTTTTTCTTACTTTCATAATGCAAAGGATTATGCTCGTAAGTAACGCGAATGTCTGTCAATTTTCGTTGCGAGACTCATTTTAAATAAACCCTTTTCAAAAATTATCTTCTTTCACCTTGAAAATACGTCTTAGTCATTGATCGGATTAATTCATATTTAAATTTCACTCGATTATTTCGTTTTCTCTTCGATGAAATGAAAAATTTGATAGAAGAAGAAGAAGAAGTACAACAAGGCGAATGAATTTTGTTAAATAAAAATTGCATTCTATTTTAAATTATTTTTAAATTTATTAATATATTTATTTATTATTAACATTATAATCATGTTAATTTTTATTTATTTATTGATAATTCATTGGTTATCAAATTTATCGATAAATGAAATATTTTGATGAAACTTTTTAAAGATATGCATGCAACACAATTTGCATACGTGTCAAAAATTTAACTTAATGAACGTGTATAGGAGACTTGACGTTTCTTTTTAAACAAATAAATTACATTTTTACGTTGAAAGAAATATATTCTACGTTTATAATCTTTTTATAAGAATTAAATAAGCGAATTTTGTAAAGAACGTGCAAATCACCGTTGACATGTTAAAAGGTTTATACCTTTTTTATATTCGTATCTCTTTTCTCGTTTTTTTTTTTCTTTTTTTTTTTCTTTTCTATATTTCACTTCATCTTTCTTTTTCTTTTCATGGTTGTGTTCTTAATCAAGTCATAAAGCTGCTTACACGAGTTTTTAATGCTTCCTTGCAAAAGAATAGAAATTCTCTTTAATTCTTTTTTGTTTTTTTTTTTTCTTTAGTTTTCCATTAGATAAACGTTCACATATATAAAAGTAAGACATATGAGTATGGAAAGGTATTTAAACAATCTAATCGTACTTAGTCGTAATGGTAAATACATTTTCTTTTTTCCTCGACCTATTTTTTTCTCGGTAGATTTAGAAAAATATATTACTCGAGATAAGAATTCGATAAACAAAAAAAAAAAACAAAAAAATTGATCTTCAAAATGTATAAAAAAAATTAATTAATTCGATGTAACATAACACGATCAATTTGTAATATTTATTATGCGATAAATTATTAATACTATATTTAATAATTAATAAATTATATTATATAAAAAGAAATAATAACAAAACAATACGAGAAATAAATTTAAATATATATAATTTAAATAAATTATACATATTAAAGTTATTTATTTTATTTTTAATTAATTAAAATATTTTGTCAACTTAAATTTTATTAAATTTCAATGATTTCTTTTAAAGCACAATTTTAGTTCAATTATAAAAATTCTTTTCTTCATTTATATTTTTTTGCCATCATAAAAAATTGAAAAGTAATGTAAAAAAAAAGGTACATCAATGAACAAACTAAAAAAAAGAAGGGTTGCAAATTGTTCGAATTGTTTCGTGCTTATTTTAACTCAACTCGTGTTTATCCATTATCCAGATTGTACTTTATCGTTAACGTTTATTTTCAATAATTTATCGATTATAGTTAGGAAGTAAACCTTAAATATTATTTGTTGGTTTAACGGTAAATAGTGATCCTCCTCGTTGATGAGAGTTAGGTGTTTCCATCAAACTTTTTGAATTATCGAATTATGTATCTACCTAAACTTAAGATGCTTCGTGAATTTAATGTGTATAGTAAAATGCATCTTGCATTTTATCAACAACAACAAAAAAAGAAGAGAACAAAAACAATAAAAAGATTATGGTAAATTTAATTGAAACCTTAAGAAAAAAATAGTAATAAATGTTTGATGAATATATTGATAATAGTCACTATAATTTTGAAAGATATCAAATCAACTGATAAAATATTCAAATCATTTCCATTTCCCTTTTTTCCATTTGTTAATCCTCATTCATCATTGTACGATAAAACGACAGTACAAACGATTATGGTTTTTTTTTCTTTTTTTTTTTTTTTAGATCTATCTGATAATAGTAAAAAGATACTATATACGAATATCAAATTTATCTTACATTAAATATTTAAAAAATAGTCATCTAATTGTAAGACAATAGAATTTTACTTATCTGATCATGATCGATCATTTTTCTTTTATATTTTATTTTATTTTATTATTATTTTTATTATTATATGAATGAGATTTTTTTGACGAAATATATAAAATAATCGATGAAAAAGAAAAAAAAAAAAAAAAGAAAGGTTCGTTAACAAATTTATTTTATTATTATTTTTACCTATCTAATTATATATGTTTCTCTCATTATAACAATTATCATCTTATTATTTTTATTTTTGTTCTATATTCAGCATAATTAAAATTGAAACTTTTATATTAATTAGAGAAAGAGAGAAAAAGAACAAAATTACAAAAGTGTTGCTCGTAAAATAAAGAAAAAGTTTTCATCGATTATATAAAAAAAAATTTGTTCAATTAATTTATTAATAATTTTTTCATTGTTCAAGGAAGCATTAACAAAACTGAGAAAAACATAAGTAAAAAAAGTTGAACATAGAACGTCTTCGTATTTCTCTAATTAATCTAATAACCTTATTGGAGGAAAGTCACTTAACCGCATTGCCTTTTCGAAGATAAGAAAAAAAAAAAAAAAGTTAATCAAAGTAGAGTAATAACTTGTGTAAGTAATAATGATAAAAAAAAAAACCATAAATAATAAAAAGAAAAAGATTCTCACTAACGCGTCTTATATTTTTTAGGGGGTTGAATTTGAAGCTTGTGGCTTTGCAAAAAAAAATAATATTCATAAGTCAAACAAATTGGATTATCAATCAGTCGTTGTAACCACGAAGGGTTGCTGTACCTTTCATTTATCTTTTAAAAGAAACTCCTACTAGTTACGAATGAAAAAAGGGACAGAGAGGAGAAGGTCAGAGGAAAGGTAGTGAAAGACGACCGAATGAAAAGTTTATTATTTTCTACTTTCTACTTACTCTTCTTTTTTTTTTTTTTTGCTCTTATTTTCTTTTTCTTTTTCTTTTTCTCTTTTTTTGACCAATATCGTTGCTTTTATCAATTTACAAAAAATAATATCTGATTATATCGATTTAAACATTGGGGATTTATTCGAATCAATATTTCGACTTAACTTTGAGAAACAAATAAAAAATAAAAAAAAATATATATATATATATAATTAATACATAAATAATAATTATATAATATATAACAATCTATAAAAGTTATCCTTAAATATAATTTGTATAAATATTTAAATAATAATTATTGTATTTTTACGATGTCATAAAAATTTATTTCTAACCATCATTATATGCAAAATATAAGATCACTCTACCCCC